CTTTCTTTTCATTTCAGGCTGCTTATGGCTGCTTTTTTTCATAGATGCACACCCGTGAAGGGGTTTTTGGTTTTAGTTTTTACTTTGGTTTAAAATCCGATTGCTTATCTTTGGCAATTTTTCAGTGATGCGCAGAGCCGCCTCGGCCAAGGAAGACATCGACGCATTTAGTGATGCAGATGAATGGGAGTGTCTCGAGGATGGAGATGACAAGCCATATGTATGCAAGCTCGAGAACGTCCTTGCTCACCCCCTAGATGGAGTTTGCGATCAGCAGTTTTTCAATAAAGCAGCTCTGAATCAGCGTAGGATCAGAATTCACAACCATGAAATCGTACGTTTTTTGTATGTTTTTCTTTTCTAATATTGTTTTTTCCAGTTGACAATGCTAAAGTCAGGAAATGGAAACGGGAGGAAGACTAAGCAGGAGTCCTCCTCAAGGAAGTACCAAGTGCAGAAATTTTTTTCCTCAAATCTCATTCGAATTTTTATGCAAATTTTTGTTATGCAGGATTTAGAAAATCAGGTGCAGAATGAAGTGCTGCCACACAGACTGGAGAACCAGAAGCTCAAGCTTCTGAACATGAAGTATAGCCACATCAAGGACGAAGAGAGCCGAAAAATAAAAATCCTGCAAGGTATTAAAACGTGGAAAAAACACTACACGGAATTGATGCTGGCGAATGACAACAAGAAGCAGGATAGACAATTACGTGCTGCTCAACATGAGCAGGAGCTGGTAATTTTATTTTATTTTAAAACAGTTTTACTCTGTTTTTTCTGCAGAGAAAGAGGAAACACGAACTAAGGAAGGAGCGAGAACAAAAGAAGAAAAAGACTGAGCCTTTAGCTCTCGTTATTGTGCAGCAAGAGCATGAAGAAAGAGAACTAGAAACTCTAGTGGAGGGAAAAAGCCAAGAACAGCAAGAACGAACTCGCGTGGATGAAAATGCGAACAAAGAAAAGGTAAAGTTTTATGTTTATTTAGTTACTCGTCTTCAAATAAACTAAAGACTAACCACTATTTTTAGAGAGATGACGGAACAAGGAATGATAAGGAGGAGCGACAACGATGTGAGCAGGAAGTGGTAATTTGCTTATTGCATAAACTAGTTTTTGTTCTTATCTCTTTGTATTGTGCAACAGGAGCATGAAGAAAGAGAAAGAGAAACTCTGGTGGAGGGAGAAAGCCAAGAACAACAAGAAAGAACTTGCGTGGATGGAAATGCGGACAAAGAAAAGGTAAATTTTTATATTTATTTAGTTATTCATCTTCATAGCTAAATACCAACCACTATTTGCAGAGAGATGCCAAGGAAAATGATGGAATTAGGAAGGAAACTTTGCCAAAAAAATTCTTCCAAAGGCTTAAAAAAAAAACTGTCAAGGGGAATGACGACGAGCAAGAAGTTGCTACTGCATGTGAGCAAAAGAAGGATAAGGATGAAGCTATGGGTGACAAAGCGGATGACTAGGTAGACCTTAATCCAAATGAAAAGCTAAAGACTAATTGCTAAATGCAGGAAAATGCAAAATGCAAAAGAGTAAATGTAACTCAGATGAGTCAGGACATTTTGAGGCTTTGTCCTAGCTTAGATTTTTCCACCCGGAAGGCACTTCTACAAAGCATGAAAGCTTACAACAAGATTCATGGTAAGTTCTTCAAAGAAAAGTTTAGAAAAACTGATACGTACATGAGCATTTTGAGCTATGTTCGAAAAGTAGTCTGTAAGGCTCATCCGTTATAAAGAGATAACCGTCAGAAACCTGAAGCTGGCTATCAACAAAAGACGTCTAAAGTTTAAGAACTTATGCAGCAACCATTGACGTGCAGCTTAGCTCCTCCTTTGCGTAAGATTCTTAAGCCTCCCTTACTGCTTCCACATCTCCACATCTCCACATCTTCCATGCATCACAATAGCCGATCTCAAAACCAAATCGCTGGTCGTGACTCCGCTACACTCTCGAATCAGCAAACAGAGAGCCACAGCTGGCCTAGGGTCGCCTATACACCCGCAAGTGTGAGCGACAGAGATGAATGTGATTAGACTCGGTAGATTGCCGTCAAGCAGCATGCATCGAAAGAAAAAGAGAGCTTGCCTTGGCTGGGAGTTGTGACTAAGAGCCGAGATGATCGAGTTGTAGGAGATAGTGTCTGGAGATTTTATAATGCAGAACATGTAGTGACTTTTAGAATTTCATATCATATCTGGTTTCTAAGCATGATTTTCTTGGAGGAAAGCTAAAAAAACCCAAATTTAGAGACCAATACAAAAAAAAAATTATCAACATACCATTTTATCTACAATCTCCATCACAAGATTATCAGGAGATTTCTTTATGAATGTCTCCATGAAGTGCATTATGTAGACTCCACAATCCACAGCATTGCTTTGCTGCGGAACCTGGAAAATTGAACAAGGTCAACTGATAAAGTAAAGACCAATGTAAAATATACCTTCAACTCTAAACCCTCAATCATGTCTTGTTTTTTTTCTTTATTTATTGATTTTCTCATAAAAACTCATCATGTCACTTCATCTATTACTATAATTACTCTTAAGTCATTTTAAATAACGTTTTGCCCACCCATATAACACTCACTATAGTTGCATAATTCAAGCTTCTCATTATATATTTATTTATTTAGGGATATCATTTTATCATAAACCTTATGTGAATGGTCTTTGAGCAATCATTAGGAACCCTAGGATTTAGGCATAAAACTTTAGGGTTTAAATTTAGTAAATGCACAATATATTGAGAAATGTTGTGAGATAATTGGTCACAATAACAAAATATTTTAGTTAATACTTTGGTCATTTGATAGACTAATGGCTCTAATGAATTGTTACCACTTAAAAACTATAAAGGAAAGCCAAACTTATTATAGGGTTTAAGGTGCAAACCCTAGGGTTTACCCTTTAGGGTTTAGGGTTTCCTAAGTTATGGTTTTAGGGTTTAGCATTTAGGAAACCCTAAACCCTAAACCTACAGAGGAAATCTTAGAGGGACAGATTGCTCTCCTACTACATGAGCCTAGAAAAAAAAATTCACCGTAGGACTATAGTATAAGTGGATAATTAGTTGCCTCATATAAAATAATTGATTTATATAGTAAAATGAGTATTACCACTCTTTAATGGCCAAGAACTTAACTTAAAGCTAGTGTCGTAAAGAAAAAACATTGCCATAGCAATGTTGAGCACAAGCACTTAACAACCTTAAGAAATGAAGATTAAATCAAGGCATAAGTATGGACATATCAATGTCAGAATTATGGGCCATAGCTAAACCTTAGAAACCCTAGTAGGAAATGGTGGCTTGTAAACTACTGCTCAAGGCTTTTTTCAGCCTTCTGTAAGTCAGATTTTTGAGGTCAGAAGATGGAGAGGGGTCAGATGTACAAGCCTATTCACTCAATTTACCAAAAATACAAACATGTATATACATTCCATATATCCTTAGGGACTAATTACAAAAAAATTGGGCAAGCTGATCAGTACTTGCTCAGTAGGAGGGGAGCTGGACATTGCCGATAGAGTGTGTCCCCTCCCCAGGCTGCTCAAAGGATTGTATCTGGTGTTTATGGTTAGAGTAAATGATTTTCTTGTTGTAAGTCCAAAAACTCTCCTAAACTTGGAATTTCCAACCAAGTAAATTGTGTGCAATCATAGCATTGTTTAGGCTTGGAAGTGTCATTTCTTACATTCTTTTTTACATGGACAATGATCTAATGCTGTCTGCAAAGTTTGATAAGCTTTCAAAGCTACTTCTGCTGCTTCTTTCATAGCTTGGCAAGAAGGACAAGTGCCGTGCTCACCTCCATGCTCTTGTGCTGCAGCCACAACAGCCACTTCAGAACCAAGCCTTCTAGATAATTCCTTGACTGCTTTTGCACCCCATTCGTTCCATTTCACTTTTTTCTCACTACCAAACCTTTGTGCCATCCATTGGAGGTATCCATTGTCTACATCCTCTAGTTTTTGCCCTGCATGCTTCCCAAAGTCAAGGATGGGCGATGAAATTTCACAAAACTGGAATGCCTCCTCTAATTTTCTTGCTGGCGATTGATCTGTGCAAGAATTGATTAGAACAACAGTATCATCCAAGAGAAAGAATAATTCTAGTGCCAGGACGCAAACAAAAGAGGAAGAAGAAGCAGATAGAAGATAGAAGCAGGAGAAAGAAAGAAAAATGGGAGAAAATAAGTGGCAATGCAGATGCCAGGCTTGGCTGCAAAGAAGCTTTGAAACCATGAAAAAAAATGAAGAAAAAAGAATGTGGTGGTCATCTTGATCAAGAGTGGATCTTCGCTGCTCCAGCGCTTCCATGATGCAAAGCGAGCCGTCAGTGGCAAGCTGCGGCCGAACGCTGCTAGCGCTGGTAGTCACTAGTAATTGGGAAAGAATGTGAACGAGTTGCTCCTCCAGCAGCGTGGCATCTAGCACACGCACGAATCAAATCACATTTCAAGCTGCCAGCGAAATGGACCTAAAATTTGGGAGAGAAGAGGAGAGATTTTCACAAACCAAATCGCATTCTGTTCTAGCTCCCTTCTAGTGCTGCCGCCCTCGCCTTCCAACAAGCTCTACGAAATGCCCTCACCCTAAACCGGAATTATCTCCCGCCGCTAGACGACTGGAATAAGTTAATGCTAAATAGTTAATGGTATTTGCTATGAGTTTTGGCTATCAACAAGCTTTAGGTTCCTGACGGATATCTCTTTACAACGGATGAGCCTCACAGACTACTTTTTGAACATAGCTCAAAATGCTCATGTACGTGTCAGTCTTTCTAAACTTTTCTTTGAAGAACTTACCATGAATCTTGTTGTAAGCTTTCATGCTTTATAGAAGTGCCTTCCGGGTGGAAAAATCCAAGCTAGGATAGAGCCTCAAAATGTCTTGACTCATCTGAGTTACATTTGCTCTTTTGCATTTTGCGTTTTCCTACATTTAGCAATTAGTCTTTAGCTTTTCATTTGGCTTAAGGTCTACTTAGTCGTCTGCTTTGTCACCCATAGCTTCATCCTTATCTTTCTCTTGCTCACGTGCAGTAGCAACTTCTTGCTCTTCGTCATTCCCCTTGACATTTTTTTGTTGACGCCTTCGGAAGAATTTTTTTGGCGAAGTTTCCTTCCTTATTCCATCGTTTTCCTGGGCATCTCTCTGCAAATAGTGGTTGGTATTTAGCTATGAAGATGAGTAACTAAATAAACATAAAAAATTACCTTTTTGTTGTCCGCATTTTTATCCACGCGAGTTCTTTCTTGCTATTATTGGATTTCTCCCTCTACTAGAGTTTCTCTTTCTCTTTTTTCATGCTCGTGATGCACAATATAGAGAGATAAGAACAAGAACTAGTTTATGCAATAAGAAAATTACCACGTTTACCGACAAGTAACTAAATAAACATAAAACTTTACCTTTTCTTTGTCTGCATTTTCATCCACGCGAGTTCTTTCTTGCTGTTCTTGGCTCTCTCCCTCCACTAGAGTTTCTCTTTCTCTTTCTTCATGCTCGTGCTGCACAATACAGAGAGTTAAGAACAAGAAATAGTTTACACCATAAGAAAACTACCACTTCCTGGTCACATCGTTATTGCTTCTTCTCCTCATCATTCCTTATTGCGTCATCTCTCTGCAAATAGTGGTTAGTCTTTAGCTTGTCCGAAGACAAGTAACTACTTTAATATAAATCTATACCTTTTCTTTGTCCTTCGCATTTTCATTCTGCTGCATGCGAGCTTTTGCTTGCTATTCCTAGTCTTCTCCCTCATCATTTCTTATTTTGTCGTCTTGCACATCTCCTTGCAAATATTTTAGTTGTTAGCATGTTCAAAGACGAGTAACAAACTTAAAATAAAACTAAATGATTTGTCAATTTAGTTTTTCTGAGTTTTTGTTAGCATCATAGATACCAAGAACTAGTGTTTGTATCTCCTATACACTTTAAGCACCTTCTTGGGCTTATTGACAGAACTTGCAGCAGCTTTTAGAATTTCATATTGTATCCGGCATCTAAAGATGATTTTGTTCGAGAAAAGCTACAAAACACCCAAATTCAGAGACTAATACAAATATTTTCTTATCAACATACCATTTTATCTACAAACTCCATCGTAAGATTGTCAGGAGATTTTTGTATGAATGTCTCCATGAAGTGCATCATGTAGACTCCACAGTCCACAGCATTGCTCTGGTGCGGAACCTGGAAATTCGAACAAGGTCAAATAATAAACTAAGACCAACGTAAAAGAAACCTATAGTTTCTTTACGCCGATTTTGATCATGGGCTTTCCACCATTATAGTATCTCCACTCACTTTCCAGGTACTCCCTGACAGTCTTGAAGATTTCGCTACTGTATCCAATGAGATGCATGGAATCTAAGTGAAAGATTGATGTTGACAGTCTTGAAGATTTCGCTACTGTCGTGTCCAATGAGATGCATGGAATCTAAGTGAAAGATTGATGTTTGGTTGGCCCTGAGAGAAATGACAACCAAACTCTAGTGGGCTCTAATAAATGGTTTATAGTAAGTTAGAAGGCCAAAGAATAAAAACAAAAGAAAGAAACTTATGCTTTGAAAACGGGCAATAATAGACACTTTTTCTCAAAAATATTCAGATGGTTCTTCCATTTCCTTATTTTTTCGTACTCCTGAAAATTAAAGAAAAAATACATAAAACTTCAAATTTCAAATTTCAAACTCTTACTTTTTGACACAAATACGAATAGAAGAAGCTATTGAAGACGTGTTGACCTTGTTTTAGATTCAGGTTCCTGAAAAATGTGTTAAAATAAAAAAAAGAAATAATTAAATATCTTACTCTAAGCAACCAAAGGGAACGACTCGAGAGACGATCCATAGGGGTTCAAATATAGAGGGAAAGGGCCCATGAATAAGAGTGCACCCCCTTTTCTAATCGGTTAAGGGTCTTGGGATATTTGGGGTTAAGCGTCCTTGGGTTTGAATAGTACTGGGCTGGGTGACCTCTCGGGAAGTCCAAACTCAGGAGTTTACATTTGGTATCAGAGA